TGCACTTCACAATAAACAACTTATTATATTTTGACTTTAAAATGGGTGTTGTGTATACCGTTTTTTTTTATTATGATTTGTGTAAGCCATTTAAAGTGCAGGTCTCATATATGTCCACCTGTCGTTATTATTAGTATAGCTTAAAGCTAGATATTAATTAAATTCAACTAGCATAAAGCTGATATGGGTCAGTGCTGTCGGACTGACGACGTGCTGTTATATTCCAGTTAAATATTTTAAATATTATATGCTATAATGTTTTCTGTATAAATTCAATAATGCTATCGATAGTTAACAATGGCTGTTATCATCAGTATGCAACCTCTTGTACAATGTACACAATGTTGGACATTTTTCGGTTACGCTACACAGCACTTCTTTTTGTGTCGATAACGATATCGATAGATTGTTCATCAATACGCGGTAACAATCACTTGGCACGTGTTGTCGTTGAGCGAACACAAACACAACATTTCACAGTTCTTGCTTTGTCTTACAAATTGTAAATATGCTTAACTCAGATAAACCCAAGCCAACGGCTACAGCCAAAACCGAAAATAAGCCAGCAACTAAAAAGCCGCCATTCAAAAATAATGCTAGCGCAAAGGGTAAACCCGTGAATAAATTCAAAACCGCTGGAAAACGCGGCTTCGAGGGCAAAAATAATAAGTTTGCAAATGGTGGTAAGCCGCAAGCTGGCCAAAACGAAGTTAGCGAAAAGCAGGACTGGACTAAGTTTAAGCAGGAGAAGAAGGAGCTTAAGCTAAAACGCAAAAGTAAATGCGATACCTACGAAGTCACGCAGGAGGTCAAGAAAATCTACGAACAGGTTAAATGGTAAGTTCTCAGTGTAAAAGGAGTGCCATTTATTAAATATATATCCAATTCATGACCCTCTGCAGTCGTCGCACCCAAAACAAGGACAAGCTGGTGGAGCAAATGTACAAAATTCTCAACGTTGGCGACACCATCTCCAAGGTGGCCAAGGCACACGACACCGCACGCGTACTCCAATGCATGCTGAAGCATGCGACACCCGCACTGCGAGCCGAGCTCTCCGACAAACTGATGGCGCACGCCGTGGAGATGTGTCAGTCGAAATATGCGCACTTCTGTGTCCAGCGCATGCTCAAGTATGGCTCACCGGCCACCAAAGGCAAGCTGGTTGATGCTCTGTTGGGTAATGTGGTGCGGCTGTCGGGTCACAACATTGCCAGCAAAATATTGGATCATATCTATTTGAATGGCACCGAAAAGCAGCGGCGCTACATGCGCCAGGAGTTCTACAGCGATCTGTACAAGAAATCCAAGGACGATGATGTGCACACCCTGAGCGACACATACAAAGATGCTGCCAACATGAAAGCCTCCATAATGGGCGCCGTCAAGGCCAATCTGGATCATATTGCCAATAAAAATCTGGTAGACAATTCTCTGGTCCATGCCGTCATACTCGAGTTCATGCAAGCCACTGACGAAGAGAAGCTGGAGGAAACGGTCACCGCCCTGGCTCCATTGATACCGCACATGCTGACCACCAAGGATGGCACCGAGGCGGCAATTATATGTTTCTACAAGTCAACACCGAAAAATCGCAGAGTAAGCCAAGAATTTCACAATTTACCTTCAAATCCGTTATGTTGTCCATTAGTCCCAGCATTCATAACCTCCTTTTGCACATCCTTAGGCCATTATTAAGAACATCAAGGAGCATCTGCTGAAGATTGCCATACACGAGCATGGCCATGTCTTTCTCATAGCACTGTTGAATGCCCTCGACGACACAAAGGCCACCAAAAAGGCCATCTATGATCATTTGCACGGGGATCTAAAGACCCTAGTGGCCAATCAGTATGGACGTCGTGTCGTCCAGTGGCTGGTCGCGCCCGGTGATACAACTTGCTTTCATCCAGGCTTCATTAAGACCATCGAACAGGGCTTGGCCTATGGCAAAAAGGAGAAACAGGCACGTCGTCAGGAGATTTTGGAACAGATCGAGGCACCCATTGCCCAGACCATTGCTGAGGATCCAGCATTTTGGCTTTCCAACAGTCACATTGGACTGGTCACGGCTGACATACTTAACCACAGTGAGTTGTACAGTAGCTTGCACCGACCGCCTGAATACACATTCACAACCCTTTTGTATTGTAGTAACTGGCGAGAATTATATAAAAGCCGTCACAGCGTTGGCTCCTGTGGTCACAGCTGCCGACTGGCGCGTCTCCACATTGCCAGGTGAAGGTGCTGCACAGAACAAGAAGAAACCGCATGATGTGGAAGCCTACATAGCCGAAGCCACAAAGGAGCGTAAGAATAAGAATCAGAATCAGCTAAATGCCGGCGCACCACCGCCCGTTAGCAGCGACGAGGAGAGCGATTCAGAGGAGGGCACCACTCCAGCGAAAAAACCAAAAGAGGACGAGCCCAAAGCTCCGTTGGAGTTGCCCACTGTGGTTGGCATTGAGGATGCAGGCATGCATCATGTGCTCAAAAAGATTATCAAAAATGACCAGAAACACGAAGCAGCTCCATTTGGTGCGCAGCTGCTGCAGCATTTGTCCAGCGATGTGGTAATTGGCTGGCAATCCAAAATTTGACAAGTTATTAAATTGTTTTCCTTGTAGCTTAAATCCTGGCTGGGCATCAATCGTGCATGCTATGTGCTCGTCAAGTTGGTGGAGGGTTCGCCGGCCCAGCTGGACAGCTTCCGTTCGCTTATCGAGGAGCACGAACTGGGCAAACTGCTGCTCAGCGAAAAGTCGTCGGGTGCCAAAATGTTGGCCAGCAAACTGAAGAAATAGAAACATGCTAATAACTTCTAGTTTATAGTCATCTATTGATTAGTTTTAGTAAATGCGTTTGAAAATAACGATACTATATTTAAATAGAGTATATTCATGCTCCTTTTTTTAATTTGGTTTAATTTCTGTATCAAGCATTAATATTTCTTAAATTTTCATATTCTTTGGGAGGGAGCTATTACTATTACTGAAGAAGGATCCTAAAAAAACAGGTAATTAAAGAGCATGTCCAACATATCTTTCGAAGACAACAAGATTTTCATACAAAGAATCAGTTTGAATTTACATATTTTTGATTGCGGAGGAGATTTACCAAAAGGGAGAAGCTTAAATATTAATTTGATAAGCATTTAAATCTGTGAACATTAATATTATATTTGAAAATCGCATTAAAAGGCGAAGTAACATATTTTTGCTTGGGAGAATAGTTAAATATTAAAATCTATAAACGTTACTAGATTTCATGAAAATCGCATAGAAAGGCGACATTTACATTTTTCAAAAAGAGAATTTACGGTTTTATTCTCAGAGATCAGGCAGAATATAATCAGTATATTAACATGGCGTTCTGATCATGAATATAGATACTTTATGGAGACAGAGCTGCTTTCTTTTGCGCCTTACACATTTTTTAACATTTCAATGCATCATGCTGGGACATACATAATAAAAAGATAATATTAAATTCAAGCGCCTTTTTTAATTTTGTTTTATTTCTAATGAGTTAATGCAGTTGCCTATATCTCTTCAGCCGACTAGGTTTATGATTTGCGCATAATGATGTGCAGGCCTGAGTCGGTGTCCACAATGTCCGATAGCTGTCCCACCTTCAGTGCGAATGCGGCCTTCTCAAAGGGCGCTTGCATTTGACCTAATTAAGGCATGGAATTGTAGTTAATAAAGCGCTGATTGGGGTTCAAGTTGGGTCGCAGCTTACCGCGTCCAAATTTGCCCAAGTCACCGCCACGTTTGGCCGAACTGCAGTCGGAATAGGAGCGCGCCAGTTCCTCGAATGTTGCCTCGCTGTTCACAATTTTGTTGCGATAGATCTCGAGCAGCATTTGAGCCTCCTCCTTGGTGCGTGTGATGTTCTCCTCGCGCCACGAGCTCGGTCGGCGGCTGCCCTTGTGCTTGACCAGCAAGTGGAGGCATTGCACCTCATTGGGTCCATCCGATGAGGAGGCATTACCTCCGGCTTTCTTTGCCGGCTCAGTGGGCTGGTCCCACTGGGACTCCTTTGTGTGCACGTTGAGATAGTAGCTCATGCCTGAAGCATACATAAATAAATGCGTTGTTAAAATTTTCCGGTTGCAAAATTTTTTTTGCACATGTATAATTTTCCTTACCGGTTGAGCGGCTGGTGCGCTTTTCCCAGCCTTCTGGCAAGTGTTCAGTTTCTGGCATTTTGTTGTTATCAGCTACAAACTTCTTGAATAACTAAATATCTTTTAGTTTACGACAAATTAAAACTCATCAAAGGATAAACAGCAAATGCGATTAACTTATCGAGACCGATTGCAAACCTCTCAACGATTACCGATATTTTATGGATGGAGAGTCAGCCACCCTTAATAGACACCGTTACCAGTAAATAAGCAGAAATCGAAATTAATTTAATAAAAGTAATGGCATTATTATTTCAATTGCAGATTATTATTTTGCTTATCGCACATGAGCGCATTATTAAGCTTTTCTAAATTGCATCGATTACAGCACCGAAAGTACTCTGATGATTTTCTGTTAAAAGGAGAAGTCTCTGTTAGTGAAATGTTAAATAAACTCCTACTATGTTAGCAGTCTGTATATTGTATATTTGTTTGGCATTTTCGTGTTTATTTCTCGTGGTCACACTGCTTGCGGAGTGCAGTCACACTGGAAGCTCAGTTTATAAAATCAGCAAACATTGAAAACCCAAACGCCAAAGAAATTTAAATTGAAGATTGCGAATGATATTGTTTTTTGTTTTGTATTTTTTCCCCGTAGCTCCAAACGTTACGATACACGCGATAGTGCGTTCAATAAAAACCTAATGCCGCTGAGCGATTGAAAACTTATTCCAACTAGAAAACGAATAGTGTGTATGCATGTATGTGTGTGCGTTTTTGTGTCTGCGGGCAAACCGAAGAAGTGACGTTTACAGCAAAAAAAAAGTCGGTCTCGTCAAAATTTGAAGTGAAATTAAATAAAACACGTCGTCGTCCAGCCACTCACAACTCTTCCATGGCAGTTGGATGCACGTTTGATTGAAACGACGACGTCGCTTCGCTCGTCGTCTTTGCTGCAAATTTCGCCATCTTCGCTCAGAATACCAATAAGAAGAAGAAGCAATAACGGTGAGTGCTGAAGCAGGTGTGTTTACTATGTACACTTACATAGTGTGTATGCATACTTTATGTATACGCACTCATACATATTTCATATACATGTGCAGAAAACGTCATCAAATAGTAACAAGAAAACTTTCTAGCTATGGCTCGCTTTTGCTCATGTTGTCATTATTATAACTTTCCTCTGTTTTTGCCCTCTTAACATCAGTTGCATTTTTGATGATTTGCCCGCATTCATCGCTGTTTATTATCAAAGAACAACAACAACAAGTGCCAGCAGCCTCTCAAATTCCAATTGGAGAAAATTCTCTGCGTTTCTTTAGCTTTCATGCCCATTTCCTACCACATCAGCTGCTTTGTTGTCTTGTTGTTGTAACCTTGTATCTTCCAATTCAACTCCGCAACGTCTGCTCTTGCTCTCTCGCTCTTGCCCTATCTTTCTCTGTGCGCAGCGTTACCACCTTGCATGGGTGTATGTACATACATATACATTCATACATACATATGAACCATACACCCATGCTCACATTTATACGCCTCGCGTGCGTTTTGCTATAATTCTGTTTATTTATTTATGTTCATGCTTCAAATACAGCACGACGAGCAAATATATGCGCAACTGTATATGTCTATACAAACATATGTATATGCATAATTTGTTTAGAAGTTGTTCAGCCTTTTGAGTGTGCCTTGTCTGTTTGTTCATAAGTACATACACACATACATATGTAGTTGACTTTTGTTTTGCTAGTTTTTTATTTCAGCTTTGTGTGTGGGTGTATTGTTTAATTATTTTTTAAATTTTATTTGCCTTTGAAGCTGCTCTATGAAGCTTTTTGACCTTCTTTAAAAGCCGCGAAAATATGTTAAAAATGATTTACACTTGAGAAGTGAGCCACGTCCATTAATATACTATATATAGGTGAGTGTGTTTGTGTGGTGATTGGGTGACGGAGCGGGGAGAGAGGAACAACAACAATTTGTAATTGTTTAACCGAAAAGTAACAACGGCATCGTGAAAACAAATAGATATGAAAACATTCATATATCATAATTGCCTTCAGTTTTTATCCCAGTGTCCGTTGCAAAAAAAACCGTTATGTAAAGTAAGCAGCAATACAAAAAAAAAAAACAATAGCAGCGTGTTGCGCTCAGGCCCCCTCCCCACCTTCACCCCCTTCCTGCTGCCGCTCGTTTTCAATCACTTTCAAAATGTTGTTTACAGTTTCGACTTCTGGCAACACTTGCAATTCAGCACATTTAGAGGTATTATGCATGTACGAGCATACATACATATGAACAAGCATAAGTCCATGCATACACACATATGTATTATGTATACACTCGTATATGTGTGCCATACAATTTCAATATGTGCCGGTATTTAGGAGTTTGCTTTTGATGAATTGCACTTTTCAAGCGATTTTCAGTTTTTTGTGTGTATTTTCGTCGTTCGTATCTACGCTGGGTATTTGCTTTGTTGTTGTCGTTGTCGTAACACCGTTACAATATTTTGGCCTCATTTTGATGATCAATTTTGTTGTTATTTCTTTGCGTTTTATGGCGAAAGCTTTTCTATCTCAGTCACCGCTGACGTTGAAACATGTGTGTGTCGAAGGGGGAAAAGAGACAGCGAGATAAGTGTGGGACCTGTGTGGCTCATTTCCTAATTGCTTTGGCTGTTGTTTTAGCTTGTTTTTTATAAGTCTGTGTTTCAATTGTTTTTATGCCCATTTGGGTGGCAGGCAATTTGTGTTGCAGCGCAATTTTACGTTTTGTTGTTTTTTTGTGTTTGTAAAATTAAATTAAAGTCTAAGTCTTGTTTATCCGTTGTTCATTGATCACAGTGCCGCCCCCAATGATTAAATGCATACACACACACACGCGCACAGTTTGTTTCCCTCTCTCTGTCTCTCTCTAGAACTTCTGTTCATCTGCACTGGAAACGATAAAACATGATTGTATTCAAATAGAACTAAGGCAGCGCGTGCTTTTGCTCTGCTGATTGACGATAAAGCGACCGCTGCAATCGTGTCTGTCCCTTTGTCTATGCATCTGCCTACCATGTGCCATAAATTTCCACTCGTGCCGAGCTTTTACATACACACACGCATGTATAAGTGGCTGCATATTTATGTATATGTGCATATGTTGTGCTTTGGAATGACTCTTTTACTTATCCAATTCAGTTCCACCAATAGCAGCAAAGCTTTAAATATTCGTTTTATCGTTCTTTCAAGTGCATTTATGCATTACTTCTGTCGCCGACCATTAACGCGATTTCCAATACTTACATAAATATCCTGGCGTTGCCATACATAACAGAAAACACGTGAAAATCTCAAATGTCAGATACAGGTACAAGACCCTGACGAGTTTGGGGCTTGGCAGCCAAACAGAGGGCTGGGGGAGAGGGGTATGTGTGGGTTGATGGTTATAATGATATAATGCTAATATGTGTGTCTGACCACGTGGCACGTGGGCGTGGCGAACAAACGTGAGAGTTACGTACATCAGTTGACGTCGTTTTAGCTCAACACCCCGCCTTCTGAAGCCGGTCCTCCGTTAGTTCGTTTGTTTTTTTTTTTTATTTTTTTAATTAGGTTAAAATACTTTATATGCGCGTGACGCGCCTTTCAACTTGGCTGCCTTTTAAAAACTTACTTATAATTTTTCATGGTTTAAAGAAGTTAAAGATATCGTAGTTATCTTGATAATAAAATGGGTTTCGAGTTTCCTTTAGGTGCACATATTCCAGAAAAAAAAAAAACATATATTTTGAAAATAATTTAATCAAGAAATATAAATAAATGAAGAGTTGCAAATTAAACAACCTGATATGCAAAATGTCACCGCAACGCGAATGCATTATTCATTTAAATACAATTTTTTTCAAAATGAAAACAAATAAAACGAAATTGCGAACAAACTGTGCGAACTGGGAGATACCCTACAACAAGTTATCATAAGTTTAAATATCACTTTGTTTTATATGTATATACATTTGATAGAGCACAAGAACATTGAGAAAACAATTTAGAGGAAATTCAGTTTTGGTTTTTCTTCTTCTTTTATTTTATTTAAAGTTTTAACAGAAATTTGAGTTTAGGCAAATCAGAAACAGCTCTGGAACTGAAAAGTTCTTGTTTTTGAGTGACTACGTGACATTCTCAGAAACTCACTAACGCTTATAAACGGCAGTTCCCAAAATGGATCAACATAACCAAACTTTGCAATTATCAAAAAAAAATTTCCCTGCGTGCGATATACCCCATTTGCTGCTGCCCAAACAAGTATTATCGGTATGAACACACACACACACAGAAAAACCGACTAAAACAAAAATTTAAGCTTCAGCCGCTGCGGCTGCGGCCAGCAGGTTTCTGACTAATTCCCACACAATCCGCATGCCCGCCGCCCGCCGCCCGCTGCCCGCTGCCCGCCGCCCGCTGCCAGCAGCTTCAACTGGGTGACGATGGCGAAAGAATGGAATTGTTGAGAAGCGGGGGAATGATAAAGCAAGGAGTGGGGCGAGGCCCGACATGTTTAGAAATAAAAAGGCAGCAAAGAAATAAAATGCAATTTGTTTAAACAATAATGCTGGCCAATACAGCGACAAAAGCTATTTTCAACTATAAAAATATACATAAATACGTGTGTGTGTGCGTGTGTTTGGACGTGTGCGTCTGTATTTTGCTGCCTAACGGTATACGAATACTTATATGTACATATATGCATACATACATATACGTATGTATGTATTTACTTGAGTGGCTCGAGTGGCCACTTGAAACCGCATCCGAAATGAATTCAAGACGTGTTGGCGTGCTTTTAAAATTTTTTCATTTTGGTTGGTTTAATTCTTGAATTCTGCTTTGGCTGCTAAGGTGGCCGTTAAGTTGGGCGCCAGTCACACGCACACATGCAAACACACACATACATGCACGCCAACAGAAAAATGCACATGTATTTTTATGAATGAATCAGAGTGGAAATAAGTAGGCAAGTGCATGAATTACACTCACACACATGTCTGGTTTGTCTAAAGTGTTGCCACTTAGTCGAAATTCTAAAAATTGCAAATGCACTCACACAGCAACATTTTCAGCTAATGCATCACGACAATTAAATACAAACAAATAGTCACATTTACATATATACGCATACACATACGCACATGCACACGCTGCTAACAAACTACCCTACCATATGCAAGCATTTAATTATTGTCTACAATTTGATGGTGCCATTAATTAGCAACTATTCACAGCACGCACACATGCATGCATGTATTGTATGTGTGCTGTATACACAACAGCAACAGCCTTTTCTTTGGCAGCAAGTGTTCAGCCTAAACGTATGCAGTACACTTTGAGAAACTAGCTGATTACAGTGACGTCCAAAACAAGTGGAGACGCAGTTTTGATGACAAAGCAAAGCCATAAATAGTTACAAATAAAATCTTATCTCAAATATTTTCTTATATATATATTAAATTGTTGAGCTAATCACTAAAACAATTGTTATTAAATTTATGCAGTATTATTATATTTAGCTAAAATTCTTGACCCCACCCATCTGTAATTGTTTTATATTCTTTTCGCGCATTTTCGCTGCTTTCGCTCACAATGCCACGATTCAAGCGAATATCAAACGGATTTAAATAGTTGCTGGCTAAATACAAAGAGTCCAGTCATAAACGGCACTCGACCATTGCCCCAGCTCTGATATCTGTTGAATATATACCCATACATACATATGTACATACATATGTACATTATGTATATTTGTAGTGTACGTACATATATGTAATGATTATAAAGATAGTCATGCAGTCAAGTCCAGTGGGTTGGCAGCAAATCCCGGTGTTTTTTTCACGTGCTATTGGCGGCTATTTCAGCCCCAATCCGCACCATATAAAAACCAATCTAATCAAAATTGCAGTTAACAGTAGATTTGCTCCAAGTATATGGAGGGCAATACATTAAATACCTAACAGAAATAAAATGTGTACAGATATTT